AGTCTGAGGCTTTTCGCAAATGCTTCAGGCAATTCTGTTATGAGGATGTGACCGGATCCCATTAAGGTTTTAGTAAACTCTGGGAACTTTGCTGCTGGTGGCTGAAGCCAGAAATGCGTTCCAAGGAGCAGATACTTGAACTGCTGGTGATTAAGCAGTTTCTCACCATTTTACCCGAGAATATTCAGGCTTGGGCACAGAAGCAGTGTCCAGAAAGTGGAGAGGAGGTGGTGGCATTGGTAGTGCATTTGGAGAAAGAGACTGGAAAACTACGACATCAGGTCAGTAGTCCTGTACATACAAAGAAGAAAGCCCCCTTTGGAGCAGCATGGGAGGTGTCAGAATTTCAGCCAGCCCAGGTGGAAACCCAAGCCAGGGTGATATCTCAGGAGGAAGCTGGAAGCTACCACTCAGAACACCAGGAACATCTGAACCAAAAGAAAGAACATCAACCCTTACCCAAGAATGCTAGGCCTTCTCCCTGGTTTCCTGCCCCTGCTGGTGAATGGAGCACCACAGATCAAGAAGTGATAACCTCACAACATCCCTTTGGGTCCCAGAAACCACTGAAAGATGTCCACATGACAAGAGGTTTCTCCTACAAAAGGAGTGTACATCAGATTCCTGCTCACAGAGGCCTCTACCAGGGTATCAGGAAGGAGAGTGTTGGGAACATGGTTTCCTTGGGTAGTACAGTGTCTATATCTAACAAGGCAACCCGGTTGGACCAAAGAAAAGAGCCGTGGACTCTAGGTCTACATTCGTCCAATAAGAGGAGCATCCTGCGAAGCAACTACATCAAGGAAAAGTCAGTTCATGCCATTCAGATCCCTGCAAGGAGTGCCGGGAAAGCATGGAGAGAGCAGCAACAGTGGGGTTTAGAAGATGAAAAAATAGCAGGTGTGCACTGGAGCTATGAGGAAACTAAGACTTTTCTTGCAATTCTCAAAGAGTCTCGCTTTTACGAAACTCTTCAGGCTTGTCCCCGAAATAGCCAGGTATATGGTGCTGTGGCTGAATGGTTGCGAGAATGTGGCTCCCTCCGAACACCAGAACAGTGTCGGACTAAGTTCAAAAGTCTCCAAAAGAGCTATCGAAAAGTGAGAAATGGTCACATGCTAGAACCCTGTGCCTTCTTTGAGGACATGGATGCATTGTTGAACCCTGCAGCCCATGCATCATCTGCTGATAAGCCAAAAGAGATGATGTCTTTGCCCAGAATGAAGAGAATTGGCATCACTGCTAAGGAACAGATCAGTTTGCTGGAAGAGGAGGAGGAAGCTGCAGAAGATTCTGATGGTGATGAAATGGGCATTGAATTTATCCGCAAGTCTGAGACCTGTGGTGCCCCTGTCTTATTTCAAAACCTGAGTGGTAAGAATTGTGCTTTATTAATCTGGTATGAAAATGGATATATGGAAAAAGAAATGAACCAGAAGCAACCAAACCTGGGTGTACTGCCAGCATGCCTTGCCACTTGCACTATGATGTGGCCACATAAATTGAAAGTACTCTAAAGTGTTTGTTTCTGTGCCCCGTGCAATCCAAGTAAAATCACTGAGTGGTTATGGAGTGTTCTTTTTCAGTTTAGAGCACAACATAGACTATTGATTATTTAGGACTTTGCAGAAGGAAGATAAATAGAGGTCCTAAGGATCTGAGAATTGGTATAAAGTAATTAATTGTATTAGATTGTTTATAAGTCAAGGATACATTATTATAACCAGAAAAAGAATATGTAATTATTATAACAGGTTAAAGAACAAACTAAAATTTTCTTCTTAATCTAACGACAAAAAAAAGAGAGAAAAGGAACACAAAATAGATGAGTCAAATAGAAAATATATAGATAAAAATTCTAAAATATCAGGCTGGGCATCGTGGCTTACACCTGTAATCTAACACTCTGGGAGGCCGAGGTGGGTGGATTGCTTGAGCTCAGGAGTTCAATACAATCTGAGCAAGAGTGAGACCCCATCTCTAAAAATAGCTGGACAGTGTAGTAGGCATCTGTAATCCCAGCTAATCAGAACACTGAAGCAATAGCATCCCTTGAGAAGTTGAGGTTGGTGTGAGCTATGATGCCATGGCACTCTACCAAGACTGACAAAATGAGACTCTGTCTCAAAAAAAATAATTCTAATATATCATTAATGACAAAGAATAGACATTAAAAACAACTACACGTTGCTTACAAGAGATAGATCTTAAATATAAGAACACAGGGTCCTTAAATTTTAAAAAGATGGAAAGATAAACCATGCAAACAAAAGCTGGTGTTGAGTATTTGGTGACTGAGAAATGCAATTAAACTGCCAGTTAATATCTGTGTGACAGTGGACAATATGACCACTGTAATATATGACTAAGAACACCTCATGGTTGTTATTCACCAATCTTCAAATCCATAAAAATGATGGTTGTGATCACTCTTGGGGTGATCTCAAATATGGGAATCCAGTGATAGGACTGGAAGAGACCACCTAGTAAGATGGGGGATAAAAACGACTCTCTTCCTACTACAGATTACCAAGCATTCAACAACCAATTATTTTCAAACACATCCTGAAGAGTTTTATTCTGTAAGTATAGAACATCTGCTTCTCTTGCAGATCATTTCATCTTTCAAAGTAGAGGACTCAGTCATGTTGAAACTATTCTGGACATAGTTCTGCTTTTCAGGAAGACTGGTAAAACAAGTGATAGAACTTTGAGGGGAAAAGTTCCTATTGGCTATTTTAGTCCTTGATAACTACTTTGAAAAAATACTTTGACAGTTAAATCCTTTAGTTAATCACCATAATAGTGAGGAAACTACAGATTGAGGAAACTACATTTTTGCTCTTCCAAGTAAACTTAGGTCTAAGTTTATCAGTTTCCATTAGCTGACTTCATAGGTTCATTTGAGAATTGATACCTGTAAAATCTAAGTCTTCTATCCAGAAACATACTGTTTTTTCTAGTTCTTTTATGTCTTTTCAATAAAATATTACAGACTTTCTTTAAAAAAAAAAAAAAAAGAAGTGAAAAATACCATTGCCATATTGCCAAAATGAAACATTCAGAAGAAGACAAAGTCAAAAGTAATATAAAGGAAACTGATAGAAGATTTGGGAAAAAGTTCCAACCACTGGTGAAAGGAAGGCCCAGAAAAGATACCTGCCCAGAAGGGACACAAGTGACTGGAGCAAGTCTCAGGGACACTGCAGCCAGAGCTCAGAAGGGGTAGGACATATGTGGGTGTGGCTCCACCTAATCCTGCTTTAACTTCTTGGTTGAAAACCAGCTGCTTCAGTCAAAATTTAGACTTCCTTCCTCTTTTTCTTGAAGCTCTGGCTCACAGGGGTCTGGTAGGGCCTCAGCCCTCTAATTTACCACCTACAGTTTAAACCCAGGCTCCTCCCCCCACCCCCTTGCAGGGTGGTTTTCCCAGGTGACATTGGATAGGCCTCTCCCCCCACAAAATAAAAAACTTTTAAAAGAGAAAATAGCAAAATGAGAAGGAAGTGCTTTCTGAAAGAAAGAATAGATAGTAATATTCCATAGCTAAAGAAGCTATCTTCCCATTAAAATAGACTCTGAAGAGAAATGGAGGACTATAGATACCTTTTATAGGTATTTTAGAGCACCAAGGATAAAGTGAACATTTCAAAAAGAAAATACAAATTATTCCAAAATAACAAGAACTACATAGATACACTATTTCTTATAAGCAAAAGAATATGCTAGAAAAAAAGTAAGATGATACTTTGAAAATGCTGAGGAAAAAGTATTTTCAACTTAAAATTCTATATAAATTCCATTCAATAATTAAGTGTCATGGCACTTGACTTACATGTTAACTCAGAAGTTTTCTTTCTATCTACCTTTTCTTTAAAAGTTACTTGACAATTTAGCTAAAAAAGAGAGTAAAGCAGGAAATAAAAGGTTAGAGGAGGCAAAGAAATTGAAACTAATTGTGAAAACTAAAGAAGGAAAGTCCCAAGATGACAAGAGACCTACAGAGTTACCAGTCTACTCTGGAAAGGGAGTGAGAGGACTCACTCCCTCACTCACTCCCAAAGGAATAAGAACACATAGAAACACTGGGGAAAATGAGAGCTAACATACCATTAAAAAGACACTACAAAAAATTCAAGGTCCAAATGTTAAACAAAATTAAAGTGCAGCATTATTTTAAATAATTAAGATCATATCTGTAGTGGTTAATTTTATGTGTCAACTTAACTGAGCCATTAGGTACCCAGATATTTGATCAAACATTATTCTAGGTGGTTTTGTGGGGATGTTTTTGGATGAGATTAACATTTGAATAGGTACATTCAGTACAGCAGATTGCCCTCCCCAGGTAAATGGTTATATAATCAATTGAAGGCATGAATAGAACAAGAAAGCTGATCTCTCCACGAACCTGACAGAACACTTCCGTAATGGTGCCTGATCTGGGACATTGACCTTTTCCTGCTATTGGACTCAAACTGAAACACCGTCTCTTCTTGGATCCCAAACTTGCCAGACATTCAAACTGGGACTTTAATCACGGCTCTCCTGG